AGGCAAGTCGCCACACGCCAACGCAAATTCCAAAGTGTCATGTGTCATGTGCGACGCGTCATGTGGCCAGATCATCTCTGAGCCGAATGATTTCACTGACCACACGCTGCGCAATCCACAGCAACCACCAGCCCACGCGACCACAATTGCCACAGTCCAATCACGCGCTGCATAAGACAGGGCGCAAGTCAAGTCTCAAGTGACACAGATGCCAGTGTCAAAATGATGAGTGGCAGCAAGCTGTCACGCTCACGAATTCCCCCCCCCCCCCCCTCTCTGGTCCACCGAAACGTGCTTGGAACAGTCTGCTGAGCTCCTACCAACAGTTTTGGCCAAACCGATTCACAGAACATGGCAATTTCTTCCGCGCGCATCAGGCACATGTACCACACATCAGTACAGTCTTGAGGTAATGCCAATGTCATGTGGCAACCTGAGCCCTTTACTGCTGCCAGGGCCATGAGTGTGACAGTTGACTGGTTAGAGCCAGGCTATGGGCGCTTCCTCTTGTTGCCGGTTGAAACTGGCTATTAAGTACTCACAATTGCCCAAGTCACGCAGTCCTGCTCAAGAAGCGCATTTTTACGCGATTGGTTGTTGGCCGCGCTCCAGTGAGTGATGTGACACTGCTAGTACAAAGGCTCAGTAAATATGGCACTGGTTGGCTTGGGCGACAGCTAGTGCCAGCCAAAGCGAGCCTTAAGTTGAGCCACTGCTGCCTGTCTTCTGTGAAGAGACATCACCTCAGCAGTAGGCAAATGACAAGCCTGTCAAATCATTAATCAAATTGGGCATGTCGCACTTGCACTGCCCTACCCAATGCTTGCACACATTTTTTACAATCACCTGCTGCTGCTTCCTGCGTGCGTTAGCATTAGGGACCCATCAGCCAGTCACAATTACGGAAAAGTTGGGTGGCGGATGACTTACTGCTGAGCCATTGTCAATGCCAATGAGTCAAGGACAACATGAATGAATCAGTCAAATGTCAATGAGCAAATGTCAATTGAAAACAAGGCTCCGGTTCTGCAAGATGTCCACGGCCCCTTCCTCGCCGCCACGCAATTTTGCAGGATAAGAAAATAGGGTGGCAAGTGCAGCGCCCGCAGCCAGCTCCACCGCTGCTGAGCCCTCCGCTGTCATTGGCCAAGGCGCAAGGCTCAGGACTGACTAGCGCAGCGTGTTGTGATGATGAACCTACCTTATCAAGCGTGGCCCTAAGGGCCATAGCGACGTCGTCCCTCATTCCATGTTATTGTCTTATTTGTCGTCGATTGCCAGCCCAAACAATGTTCAAAGTTCAGATTTCCAGGTCTGAGCGTGATAGCTGCAGGTTACGGGCTGGTTTGTCACTGCTGTCCTCCTGGCCTCAACCTCGAGCCTTAGCGCGCAGCGCGTCAGCCAGTATCTCGACAGCTCGCCAATTTGTGTTCTCGCCTTGGTCAACGTGAAATGAAAAGGTTCTGTCCTTAGTAGCCGAGCGGCAGCCAAAGGCATCAAGGTACAGAACAGAACGAGTGATCATAACAAGCACTAACAAGTCATTTGCTCAAAGCTACAGAACGGCCGCTGACAAACTGATTCAGTCATATGAACCATATATTGCCTGGCCAGCGCCAGATCGCCACGTGGAAAATGTCCAGTCAAGGCATTCAGTTTGCAAAGTGTGCTCATGCTGGAAAAGCAAAGCTTGCGAAGTCTGAATTCCTACTACGCACGTGACATATCTCTGCGCGACGAAAAACACACTGCAGGCGACGGCAGCAAGCTGTGGCTCTTCGCGCCGAAGGATGTGAAAGCGGATGCGTCAGTGTCTGCGGGCAATGTCTTTCGCCCGCTCAGCACCAAGAAGCTCGCTGCCAATTTTGACTGTGCGCGGACAACTAACGGCCGAGAAGCCACGGGTCGCCTTGCTCGAAAGGACGTCCCGTGAACATCACGTGAGGGCTGTCCCACTTTTGAGTGGTGGGGGTCTGACCCATCATGGCCCCAAATTCCTCTCTTGCAAGTAAGCATGGAGCCCAAAACACCCAACGGAGACCCTGCAGGCAGCCCTGATCCGTGATCTTCGCCAGGCCCAGGAGTGGCGGACACATGTGACGTTGCCTTACTGCAAATTTGGTGAGCTGCCACTCTTGGGAAGATGTGTTGGCAAGCTTGGCGTGGCTGCCACATACTGGGCCGAGCGTGACCGGGAGCAAAAAAAGTGCGTCCATTTCCCAGCAGTGACATCAAAGCGCAGATCATCTTGATGGGACATATCCTGCGTATTCCAAACCATGACGTGAACAAACTTGGGGCATTGGCGCCCGCAAGATTGAAACAGATCACAGTTTTCAATAGACAACTCAACTCTCTGTGGGCGTGGCAAGCAGCACGAGCACGGAGGCGGAGTTTGTCTAACAGTTCTTTGCCAAAGGCAGCTGTGAAGCTTTCGGAGGTGGAAGAGGCCGTGAGCCCAAGCAGCTGAAGCCAGCTGTGGCAGCTCAGGCTCAGCGTGCCGAGGCGCGCGTTGGAAGGGTTCAGCGCAGCCCATTTTGTGGCACAAGCCCTGCTGGAGCCGTGGCAGAGGGAAAGTTGAGAAGCTCTCCGTGCAGCAGCCCCCGCACAAGCAATCGAGTGACAGGGATGACGGTGGCAGCGTGAGCACTGAGAGCAATGCAAGTAGCGCTGACGCTCAGGCACGCATTGAGCCAATAGCCTTTTCATCGAATCGCTTCCGGTGCAGAAACGCGTGTCCAACATGACATGACCACGTAAGGAAGGCGAGCGAGTCAATACAGCAAAATAGCGCCAGCAGAAGCAAGCTGAAGTTTCTTCAGAGCGCAAGGAGCTCCGGCCGACAGTGGGCTGCGCACTTTCATCCAACTTGCCGCAGGCGTGGCCAGAGGAGCTAATAGCAGCCCGAAGGCTGCGCAGGCAATTTGAATACTTCTGGCTCGCGCGGCCAAGCCCAATGCGACTTCACTTTCATGGGGCTTTGCGCGGGAGTGGCTACGGGCACACTGGTGGTGCACCTGCTTAAGGAAGTGCTGCGCAAGCACGACATCTGAATCCAAGCCCCGTGTCTAGCAGTCTTACTGTCACCGTTTCATAGCAAAGAACGATGGGCAATTTCTGTGTCACCTCTTGCGTGAGGTGCGCAGCATACACGGAATGCGTTGGATGGAAGTGGGACGTCATCTCCCAGACCCGTCAAAATCTGTCATGTCCAAGCCACCCCTCTTCGCGCAAACCGCAGATCTGGCAGCGCCTGCCGCAAAGACCCTCTGGCCAAGGCTTTTTCCAGACCGCTGGCAAACAGCGTCAAAAAAGGTCAAAGAGTGCAACGACATCTCCAATCTGAGCACTGCACCCCGCTCAGCGCTGTTGTCTAGGCTGCACATGTCTAACCGGTCTGGAAGATCCAGGCTGCAGTCTGGATCCAGTAAACTACGCTGCTCGCCCGCGTCTCCTTGTTCTGGAGCGCGTGGCAAGCTTGAGCCATTGCCGCAGCGCAGCGTCTCAGCAGGGCACTGAGGCAGGCGCTACTGCCTTGGAGGAGCGCGGCTACTCAGCGCCTGAGTTGTCGACTTCAAGAATTTCCTGGCCCCACTGCCCCGCCCACGGACCTATGGGATGCCCTCGCACATGAAGCGCAATGTTGGCCCTGCAAGCAAGTTTGCAAGCAAGTTGAGCTCCGCAGACAAGGCGTGGCAGTTCGCCAGGCAAGTGGGAGAGCAACCATGCCCAGTTCCAGAAAACATCAACGCAAAGGGCCTTGTCTGACATGAGACTTCAGCACCGGAAGCCGCAGCTGCAAGCGCTGGGCCTGACTGCGCGGGTAGTTGACGCTGCAGTGCTGGAGCTGGCCCGCGTGATGCCCCTGACCAAGCCGTTGCATTTGGACAGCCGCACGCACATGCTCAACGTTGGTGATAGCCTTGGAAGAACACCTTGACTTGAAAGCTATATCTTTGCGTCTTGCCTGGGAAGATGGTCTACCTACAGTGACACGTACACAGTACATGCACACGTGACAAGAACACGCACTAGCAAACATTCATCCGTGCGCAAACGTACCCACAATGTGCGTGCGCCCAGCCTGAAAGTTGAAAGCCGCCATCCACTAGGTCAGCAGTGGCTTCCAAATGCTTTTTGGGGGCGTAGGCCTTGGCGCCCTCAACTCCAGCCCAGGCAAATTTCTGAAGCGGACGCAGAGGTTCCACCTGGTCCTCAGTGGAAGGTCATGTCCTGTCAGGCAAGCATGCTCAGGCCAAGTTCGGTCAAACTCTTTGGGCCGCCTGAAACCACAAGTCACAAGCGTGCGCTGTAAATGCGTCCAAATTTGTGTGTCTGCGCAAACATGCAAAAACAAATGCGTCCCGCAGTGACTACCTAAACCTGAAAAAACGCTGAGGCACTTCTTTCTAGAGCAGCCAAGAAGAGCGTAGAATGGAACCCTGATAATCAGTCAGGAAAGAGATCAACCGAGGACACAATCCAAAGATCCCCAGCCATCGCCAGAAGACTACCCCTTGCCTGCTCAGAGATAGAGCGCGCCAAGCCCCCGCAAGAACCGAAGGAAATCACAAACTAGGTCTGCAGCGGCTTTTTTGCTTCGGGGCGGAATTTGGCTTCGGGGATTCGTCTTCGCTGTTCCTCTTTGTTTCTGAGAGCCTTGGGCGAACACGTCTTCGGAATTCGCCCGCGTCTGCGCTAGGAAAAGTACTTCCACCCCAGCGGCCGCAATGCGTAAATGGACTTCCCTTCTGTCTTGATTTGGGCAAAACTACAAATGATGGCCCATTTGGCACCCAGTAGCCAACGATGCTGTTTTGGGCGGAAAGAAGGTTGGCAGAAATCCTCGCAGGCCTGGCTTGAGTGCGCTACCCTAGGTGAGAACTTCAAAATAACCGAAGCAGCATTCTTGGAAGAGTAGTGTCGTATGCCCGCGTAACACGAACCTGGTCTGGTCGCAGCAGTCGCCGAACGATTCGTGCCGAAGCAAGCCGAAGCACCAGCTGCTGCATCACTGGCTCCAGCAGCGTCACAGCTGGGTCTTGCAGCTGGGCGCGGGCACCCGCCCAGAGAGCCCAGGACAGGTCCTGCGGGCGGAAAGGACTTGCAGAAAGGTTCCACAAGTTCACCTTCCAAAAGCGAAAGTTCCCAAGTAAGAAGTACAGGTACAAGCAAATGGCGAAAAGAAGAAACGAATGAATGAATAATGATAAATGTGCATAGTGTCTGTTCGCGCATGTCTACATGGTAGGCAATTTAGAGTGGAACACACCCTAGCAGAGTGAGGGACGACCTGCCAAAAGCGGCGTTGAACAACTAGATGATTCAAAGATCAATTCACGCAGGTTTTCCCTCACAGGGTCAGCACCACTTCTGCCCTGACCACTCGTGCGTTCCTTGGGGCGCCAAGTCTCAAACTCCCTCCGGGCGCGGCGCATGGTGCAAACCAGCGCCAGCTGAACGTCCTTTGGAACGTCCTGCGCGTCGACATAGTTGGAACTGTTGGGGGCATTGTTGCGACGTTGGCTGAACACTTCCCACTTTGCAGGGCATGGCTAGCAGCTTCGTGTCTTTTGCCCTGAAACGGCGGCTGCCAGTCACGAAGCAAAAGCAGCCAAGCAGGCCACCACATAAACCACGCTGCCAGCGAGTCATGTCCATCCCCGCCCCAGAAACCAACGAACCAGCAAACAAACACTTTATCAGGTTGGAGGCAATTGCAACACCAAATGAACAAGTTCCCAACTATGACCGCCGGACGCATTGACCATTCCAACAATCACCATGAAACTCCTGGGCTTCAAAGCACGGCACCCCCGCTTTGAAAGCGATCCTGCGTGAGCTCTTTGCTCTCAGCCAAAACATCGGAGGTGAAGACTTTGGCCATGACCCAGGACAAACCTGCCACGCTGATCGACTGCGCCGAAAACTTGGAGGGCTTACCAATCCTAGTCCTGAATCCACATACAAGCGCGGCCCCCCCTGACATAACCCAAGGGAGAGACTTCCAGAGCCCAGCAAACATTTTGGGGGTGACCCAAACAGTCTCTAGGAACGCTGCGGGTTCGGTGCCCCAATGTATTGCCGCAAGCCCGCCCTCTCACCTGCTTTTTGGAAGGGAAGATGGGTGGCCATCTGCTTGGGGTGACATACCTTAAGCCGAAGTGAGCCACTTCCAACACCACATATCCTGGCATGTCCTCTTCACATATTTGTGAAACGCGTTGCAAATCCGACGCCTGACGCGCCTTCAAAGCCAACGGCGCGAAACTCGTGTATTACTGGATGCTGCTCCGACATTCACAAGTGTTGAAATGCAGGAAACCCAAGCCCCTCAGTAATGCCAGGAAAAGTGACACCAGCTCTGGGATGTTGCAGCACATAGAAAGCAAAGGCAAAGCTCTTTCGCTTGGCCAGATGCGGTCACCTTGATGGCCATTTAGCACGCCTGCGGTTTCTTGTCAGAAGCACTACGTGCGTGGCGGGTAAACCGGGAGTTGCCCAGACCTTCAGCGAAGCTGACCCTGGGCCGGGCCCCCGTCCCCTGTGAACACCTTTCATGAAATCCACATGATCACATTACAGGGGTTCCCTTGGAGCGGATCGAGGTGTGAATTTCGGGTTTCGCCACCCTTGCTTCATCCGCAGCCAGTAAACCCCAAGCTCATTATCAGCTCCAAAAAACGTAACGCACTCAGTGTGTTCCTTTCAAGACCTTTCTTGGGACCACTGGAATACGTCGAAAAACAGACTTCTTGTTCTCAAGGCGCCAAACATGTTTTTAACATAAGGTAGCCGGAAAAGAACCAACCTGGCGTGCTGAACAATTTCTCAAGCCTGCGGCGTGAAAGCTTGCCATGCGCTCAAAGCGGCCGCCTCAGCGGTCCAAAAATGAGTCTTGACGACCGATGACAGCTTCGGGCTGCAGCTTGTTTCATCATGTGTGTCCCATGTCCCCCCCTAGGTGTCACCCCCAAGGGTTCAAGTCCATGTTGGCTTTCCTCAAACTACTTGCCAAGCAAACTTCCTCAGGGCTCGCCCCTCAGAAAAACATGGCTTCAAGCTTGCGGCGGCTTTTCTGAAACAAGTGTCCGAAGAAAGCTCAAACAAGCCACGTACTATTTTTGCACATTTTTCATAAGGCAAATGAGGGCTTAATAAAGGATTATTTGTTGGGGGGGGGGGGGGGTACCTGGTTTTCATACCATCTGGGTGTTTTGGCACACCAGAAGCCGACAACAAACAAGGGGTTGGGCTGTTCAGCCACTGTTTTCGAGGCTAGGCAGCTCACGCACAACAAGTTTGTAGTTGATGTTTGAGCAACATCTTGTTTAGGACTTAAAAAGCCCTTAATAAGGCCCTACTTGTGAGTTTCATGAAAACCCATATCATCGCTCCTAGGCGCAAGTGCACAGACAATCAGGCAGGTGCCTGAAGAGTCCTGCAGAATACGAGGACAAGGACAAGCAACCTTTCCAATTGCCGCAATAGATAAAGAGAACACACTGCCTGCGGTGGATAATCAGGCAGGTGCCCGAAGTATCCCGCTGATAGCTCGGGGCATCTGGGGCAGTCGCCCGAGCCAAAGGCCGCGGAAAAGTCACTCGCGTGCAACAAGCAATAACGGCAAACACACAAGCGAGCAACGCATGAAACCAGGGCAACCTAGACTCCGTGAAGGAACCCAAAGACATGACACGGCGCACTCCTCACATGGAAACTGGCTCAATGACCATGATCGGCCAAGAGAGCTTGTGAGCCAACGGCCACGGCGGCCGAGATACCCAAAACAACACCAACCAACCAACCAACCAACGAACCAACCAAAACCAACACCAACCATCACTCCGGACCAGTACAGCCGGCAGCAGGGGCGCGCCGCTTTCTGTAATGCGTGGGTGCAAGCCCGACGCGCGCCCAACAACAACTTTGAATGGTTCCGTTTCAGCCTCCGATCGGCTTGGGGTCAGCCCGTGGTGCAAGGGGAGGTCCTTCAAACTTTCTCGGATGAAAATGCTGGTGATGGTTCAGGTGAATCCCGGTCTTATGCAGCAGAGCAGCCGCAGCCGGACGCTCGGGTGAATTGGGATCTGCTCACTTAAGAGCTTATGTAAAACACTTTCTGGCGCCACCTTATATATTTCGGGGGGGACATCTGGGAGGGGTACGAAGGACACATGCTCCCAGGGGAACAGAAGGAAATCCCCGCGCAATGGAGAGTCCCCGCTTTTCGACCCGTTCCTTCCTTGAAAACTTACAAGGAAATGATTTGCTGGGAAGTCCTTTCTGAGACCCACGCAATACAGTTTCCTCTTCAGCAGAAATCCCGCCATCAGACTGAGTCGGACTCATGGAACGCAACTTCCGGCTTGTGAGGCTAATTCATGCATGCTACGGCAGCACCTGCGAAGCGGACTGCCCAGGAACAGCATCTATAGCCCATCGATTCCAGGCATCTATTGCCCATCGGTTCCAGGAACACACCAGAGTCAATCTCAAAACCCGGTAGCAAGAAGCATGCCTGAATGCAGGTAAGTAGTGGAAGGCGGCCGATGACAGCCAGCTCTTTTGATAATTCGGATTTCCCGCACGTATGCACACCTCGCGCTGGTGTGGGATGGCTTATATGACTCATGGTGGAATGCGCCTGCGCCCGCAGCAACGGCTCACCTTTAGTTTCGGCTGAATACGGCTTTGCGAAACGGCCATGAAATTTTCCGATCACCGTTTCGGCGTCCAATCAAGGGGAAAAGAATAGGGGAACTTGCTTGAAGGTGGGGACCATGCCCGTGCTGGCATAAGCTTGCACAGAAACCTGCGGCCAACAACGTAAACAGATGCTCGACTTTGTTTCTGATGGCTCTCAAAAGAAGCATATTGCAAGAGACGCTGGCTTTTGCGGCATTTGTGTGCTTGAAGCTGCGAATGAGCCCGCAATTGTCGCCTTTTGTTTTTGATATGGTTCAATGTACCACCAACCAAGAAAAAAAACAAATCCATTTTGGGCTGACCGGCCCAAAACGAAATCCATTACATATCGCCAGTTGTTGCGTGGGGCGTAATTTCAGTGGCCCTGCGTTGAATTAAAACGAACTGTGAGCACTGCAGCTCCCAGCGATCCAATGAACAAACTTGCAGGCGAAGAATAGATTTGAACCAAATGGAAATGAAACACAAAGCATGGTAGCACCCTCTGGTTGCAACATTAAACACGCTTGGCGGTTGAATCCGGGTCTGACATAAGGAGTCATCCCCTGTTGTAGCTTGTCCCTTTAAACCATTGAAATCCGATGGGTTCCGTGTCACCAAAAAAGCCAGGTGGCAAGGTCGGGCTTCCTCCGCGGCGCGAAGCAGGAGCTGCCTGAAGCTTTTTGCTCAAGTCACACCGCGTGAATTGTCGACTTCTCGAACGCAGCCCGGCGTTTAAGTTTCCCTTCCTCTCGGGCGGAAGCCAGGCTGTTTTCAGATTTTCAGTTGACCAACGTTGAAATTCCCAGGCATGAGGCATTGTTGCAACTTGGTGGGGCGCATATCTGGCCTCGACTCATTCAGAGTTCACAGGTATGGCTATTGACACGCCAATGACGACAGTAGAAGGCTCAGGACTCATGACAACTACCCACACAATTGCAAATGCACCTGCGCACGCACGTTGGCATGTGTCATTTTGCGTCGGATCCTTTTGGGGATGGGTGCTTGCAACTTGTCACTCACAATGGTGGAGTTGAGACTGACATGCGTCATGCAGAGATGTTATTCATCTCATACCCCCGCTGGAATCAAGAAGCAAGTTAAAGCTAGAACCAAGAAAACAGTCACACCAGATGTGGCATACTCCTCAGGTTGCTGCTTCATGGAAAAGCGGGTCGGAACCAAAACGCATGGGTTTTCGGCTGTTGTTTTTTCTGCAAAAAGCATGGTTCTGACAAGAAGAACCGTTGTTTGCAAACTTGGACCAGAAAAGCACTGGTAAACCACTCGTTTTGTTTCAAGGCAACATGTACATTTCCGCACAAGCACCGTAATGCAAAAGGCAACCTCTCTCCAAAGCAAGCCTTTCCACGCAAACCAACATTTTCGGGCAACCGTTTAGAAGCCGTAGGCAAAGTTACAATCATTCTAGTTTCCTCCTATCCAGTCCTTCGGTGCGACAACATCGTTGGCAACGATAGTGCTCGCGGGTGAGAGCCTGGTGGCACCGGTGCTGCACACCTCGCCAAAACCCGTGTTTTCCTCCCCGGCCACAAAACCAGAAAAACTGAGACGAACATGATTTGGCCAAACATGAAGGGTTGTCCGGCACTGCTCCTGCTCTTGGTTCTAACGCAAAGAAGCCTCCTTCCCACCCGACGGCTGTTCGTATACCCAACAAATAGGAACCTCGACCTGCTTTTAAATTTCTGGAAGACCCCAAGTAGTTCCAACAACCTGAGATCAGGGGTTCTATTCCAAGCAGGGGAGCTTCATGGTGAGATTCTTTCTGCCAGAACTCATGTCAAGGCGCCCTCCCGGAACACGGCACATGATAGAAGAGTTACGGGGGCCATCCTTGCAAATTGGGACTTCAGCCCCGTTCTGTTTGTAGCTCCACGTGTCCCTGTTGTACGGAAGATAGCGTGTGAAGCGGAAAACCTTGAGACGCGTCCACACTTGTTTAAAGCCTCCCCTACACCCATCCTCCACCCCCCCCGGGTACAACAATAGACTATATCCTATGTGGCCTTGAAATAATAGTTAGACCCCGGTTATCCGAAAGCGTGTGCGACAGAGGTGGTGCAAGCATGTTGCGACGTACACAGGTGTGATGTTGCTTGTGTACATTGCGTCGTGCCACGCATCCAGGCACTACTCTACTCGTCAACTGAAATTCTTAAACCAACACTTACACACGCCAAACAAACATCTAAGCAACCCATTTTCCAGCATGCAGCATTCGCGTTGCAGCATCGCCTTATGAACCATGTGCAACGCTAAGCGACGAATGTGAAACTGCGCCACCAAGCCCACGCTGTGCAGCTGATGTCCTAGTAGCGGGCAACACCTGCCATCCGCAACACTTTGCCAGGTGTCAGAAACTTGCCCCCGTCTCTGTCCACTTGAAGAACCTGGAGTCCGAAAATCTCACAGCCTACGCCAAGCTAACTGCAGGGCGGATAAAAAGACAGTGGTAGACTTGCGCTACCAGAAAGCAATTGGTGACAGCCAAGAGGAAATCTAAAGCGCCGTGCCAAGGGACCATCTTGCAAGGTCAGGAACTTCTCTGTGGGCACGCCCGGCCTTGATCTTCGGAAACTACGACAAAGCACACAACTTTCGTGCGACCACTTGCAGAAGAGCCTGAGACAGTTGCACAACTCCTTCAATGAGCTGTTGTGGGGCGCAGCTCCTGTACAAGCCCCTTACAAAGCTCCCTTCAAGGCCCCTTATAAGACTCAGCATGCCAAATTAGATTCGAATTCAAGTTTCATCAGAGTTTACCAAACATCATGATGAAATAGCTTTGATAGACCTTGGATTTTAAAGTGTGATTTCTTTCCGCATGACGCTGAATGCAAAGCTCCTATCTTCAGTTGGAATGTAAATAGAACGTCTTTTCCATGAATAAAACGTAGCAAGGGAACAATCCAAGTATTTACTGGGTTAGAACTTGAACTCGGACCCCTTTTTGATAAGACTTAAAGCAAACCTTTACTTAGAATTGTGCTAGAATGTAAGAAGGACACCATTGCAAATGAATGCATTTTAATTGAGAACTAGGGTAGGAACTACCTTCAATATAGGACGTTAATCAAAGTTAATTGCTATGCAAATGGAACTTGAATGTCTGCGCCGATTGATAATTTAAGTAGGAGTCCCGTTCCAAACAGGGTGTTAACCACAGATGCAGGCGCTGATATGTTGTTGTTGACATGTTTGTACTTGGTGGGCGCAGACACAGATGAGGAAGTGCAGATGAGCAGATGAGCAGATGAGCAGATGAGCAGATGAGCAGATGAGCAGATGATTCTTCAGACACGGTTGAAACAGACACGCGTGCCCCAAATGTAGTTCATGCTGTGGAGGGGGGTGAGAATATATATGCATATGTTATCTGAGCGCGTGGTGTGGCCGCAATCAACCTCAGTCACGCCAGCTCACTCATGAGCATCGGTGTTTGTCCTTTGTCACGCAGTTGCTTATCAATACTCAGCGTCGGCCATGGCGATGGCAAGTTCATTGGTGGAGAAGGAATATCTGCCCCTGCTTAAATCGTGGGAAAAGTGCCACATTGGCAGAAGTACCAAAAGCAACCCTGGTGGGCGGGTGTCCCGCTAGTTGCCCTTCCCGCGGAATCCACCGTGGAGCGCAGAAAGCGATGAAATAATTTTCGGTTCAGGTCTCATGTTGATGCGCGCGCCACCCTTGTGGTATGTTTTGTGTGCACCCTTAAGGGAAGGCGTGTTTCTACACATCACACTTCTGAGTCCAGCTCTCACTTTTAGAACCCAGCTGAGGGTTGGAGAGATAGACAGTTAAAGAGAGACAGAGAGAGAGAGAGAGAGAGAGAGAGAGAGCGTGTGATAGAGAGTAGATGGATGGAGAGGTGGATAGATTGAGAGATAGAAAGCAATATAAAGCGATAGCGAGATAGACGGATAAACAGCTAGCTAGGCTGCTAGATAGACAGCGCAACAGTTGATAGATAGGTAGGTAGGTAGATTTGAAGAAAGAA